ATGGGGCAGAGGGAAATGTTCATACATTCACTGACAATAGCATACTGTTAAAAATAAGTTAAGGGATGCAATGACGTTCCTGCTGAACCTTTAAAAACTAGCACTTTATTTTATTTTATTATTTTACATTTCTGAGAGGCCTTGATTGTGAATGTATTGGATATTGTTGTTAAGAAGCAAAATTTAGTAACTAAATTTAATAAATTGAAATGAAAACTAAATGTGACCTTAGACTTCGATGAAACAAAAAGAATTGATGGTAATATTTGCCCCTAAACCTGGGCATTTTTAAAATAAAAACTTAATTAAATTAGGCTGAGAATTAGAACTGAATTTTCAGCAATAGTAAAATCCAGAGTAACATAATAAATTGCTTCAGTATAGAAAAAAAACCACTGGCAAGAAAAAAAACTATAGGAATTTTGATGGAAATAAAAATTGTTTTAGTGCTGTCTACTTGAAGTTAAAAAAAATAACTTGCTGTAAAGAGATAGAGGAAGAATTGCAGTTTTTAATTCCAGATCACTAAAAGTTCAAACTAGAAATTAAATATTCATGCACAATCTAAAATAGGCATAAATGGCTGAAATATCATAATTATACATCTTGTACAGAGAAATAAAAACAGGAAACTTACATAGCACAGCAAAATAAACACCAAAGTTTTAATGCAAATTCTAATATAAAGTTCTATTACAAATCCTTTTGCAAACTTGAAATGATGTCCAGATAAAAATGGATTAAATCCTGTGATAATGTTGATTTAAACTGTGGTTTCCTTATGAAAAAATAGTGAAAAAAGGAAAATGAGTATTTGTTTTATTAGGGCTAAATTTAAAGCAAATTAGGGCTCAGAAGAGCTTTTAAAAACACGATAGAAATGGAAAATTATTGAACAAGGTCCAATGAGTATCATTGTAAAAAATGTTCATCCAATAGTATTTTATAACAGATCAAGATGCAGATAGAAATGGGAAGGAAATAAAACTGAAAGTGCCCTTCATCTCACTTTCAATTATTTCATTTGGAGGAACAGGTTAGAACTACATGATGTTAGCAAGTGTATGTCATAGGATGCCATAGTTGCTAAAATTGCACAGATTCACATTGTAGTTTCTATCCTGCATGAGTTTCAGGGGCGCGTGTATGGTTTAAAAAGAATATTAAAAATAATAAAGAACTGTAATATTACTATGCAACATGTAAGGCTAATCTGTATTCTTTTGTATTGCATGTAGTTTTTTTTCCTTTGACTGGACTCTTATTACAGACTTGCAAATCTATGCAGTGACTCCAATTCCTGACAATATTGATGTACTACATATGGATCGTGTCCCTGATCGCATAAAGAGCTTCTATCGAGTTAACAACATCAGGAAATTCCGCTATGATAGGCCTTTTCACAAGGGCCCCAAAGACAAGGAAAATGAATTTAAGGTTCTAATTCTTCCTAATATATTAACATTTTATGCAAAATATATTGAACTTTTAGATATATGTAAGAGCTCATAGAATTATTGCTATCCTCAAAGCAAGTGTTAAACAATTTTAATGTTGACAAAAATAATAGCAACTAAAATCTTTGAATATTTGATTGCAGCTTTATGATATAAAAGTAGATCTTGTAAAGCAGCTCAGCTGGTGCAAAAGTAAGCCTTGTTGAGCTCTATAAGACATAATTCTGTTTAGGGATGCACAGCACTATGCAATAACAGACTAAAAATACAGGTTTTTGCAAATTTGATTAATCTGACTGAGGGAGCTAATGAAACTATATAGTTTCTAGAAGATGCTTCAGAAGCCAAGGCCTGAACTTCCTGCTGAAATAGGAAAGTTGCAGTGTCCGTGAACAAAATTGAATGTCTTCTCCCAATTTGTAGACTTGGAGGACGGGGAGGTTGTTGCTTTTTTGAGGAGTTCCATGAAATGAAACAAATTAAAAAAAACCTAGTGTACTACTGGAGCAAAACAAAAAGCAGAATATGACCTAGCATGGATAAGAGCCATATCAAGGTCTACACCATAGTGATAAGTGTGGCAAAATATTGATATTTCTTCACTCTCCTATTGTATCCACAAGAAGCCACTGTGAAAATTCTTTTAGGCATCTGAAGGACATAGTTGTTCAGATTCACTTGGAGCTTGATGCCAGCTGAGCAGGTTCAGAGGAGTTTAGTGAGTACTTAGGTGTTATCTGAGTTATCTGAGATGAGTTTGATCCTGCGTGTGATCTGGTCCTTTGCAACCCAACCACCTTTGGTCTGGACTTCTGCCCCTTCTAGTTGGTGAAAACTGCCAAGGAGATTATAGAAAGCTCAGTCAGGGAGATGGTAAAATGCATCCTTGAAAGAGGGTATATTATTGCATACTTTGAAAGAGGTGATGATGCACCCTCTCCTTAAGACAGTGGTTCTCAACCTGTGGGTCGGGACCCCATTTGGGGTCGATCGACCATTTCATGGGGGTCGCCAAGCAAGGCTGTCCGCCATTTTTTTTGTCCGCCATTTTTTTTGTCCGCCATTTTTTTCCCCTTTTCCGGTGGGTACGTTACCTCCCTTGGGCTGGGCCAGCTGGTGGTCGGCCTGCTCCGTCTCTGCCGCTTGCCAGCTACGCCTCAGCCGGCGCAGGGGGTGGAACCACGCATGCGTGGCGCTCCTGGGCAGGGAAAGTCCTCGACTTACGACCGGTTGGGTAGTCCTCGACTTACGACCGGTTTAGTCCTCGACTTACGACCGGTTGGGGTCACGGCATTTAAAAGGTTGAGAACCACTGCCTTAAGAAATCATTGCTTGGCCCCATTTTACTGGAGGACTGTCAATCTGTCTCCAACCTCTCCTTCTTGGGGAAGATTATGGAGAAATTGGTTAGACTACAACAGATTATCTGGATCTGTTTCTGCCTAGTTTCAGCACAATTAAAAACTAATCTGGCAGAACTGAGATAAGAGTAATGCAACCATCCTTCTTGGTATCCCAGCAGCTTTCAATAATACTGTATCCTTCTGAACCATCTCTGAAGTTTATGAGTGGGGGAAAAACATTATATGATGGCAATTGCTAAAATGATGTTTTCGGTCAGGATCACAGGGGATCAAGCCCTAGACCCATCATCTGCAGATTTCTGGCACTTTCCAGTAAAATTACATCCTTAATTCTAAATAGAATTGCACTTCCCTGAGCAGAATTACTTTGCAATTTGAGGGTTGAACTAGTGGATCCTGCTTTAAGAGCTAGGGGTAGTTAAGGTTAAAAAGAATTTGCTTTCATCTAGTCTGCCAATTGCTACTTTTCCTGGAAAGACAGGAGTGACTTCCTATCTATTGGACTGTTATATTAAGTTCTACATGGGGCTTCCCTTGAAGAACATTCAGCAGCTTGAGAAACGACGGATGCACTTGAAACATTCCTGTAACTTCTGAATTGTATTCTGAAGTCAACTGGCAACTAGTGCAGCTGATTGCCAGTTGCCTTTTGAATGCAATTCAAAGTGTGGTTCTCACCTTTAAAGCCCTTCATGGTTCAGAGCCTGTTATCTGCAGGACTGTTTTCTCCCTGTAATGTTTGCCTACACAATAAGATCACTCATTCACTCAATTAAAGACTTTTCACCTTCGGGGACCTTATAAATATACTTTTTCAGCCACTTCCCCTTCTCTGGAACAGTCCCTCCCCATCATGTGTAATTGCCCCCTTCTTGACCCACTTTTAGTGAAAACCTGATTATTCTGTCAAGCTTTGTTTTTCTTTGTAGAGCTTGTGGATTGAACGTACCACTCTAACCCTGACTCACGGTTTACCTGGAATCTCTCGGTGGTTTGAAGTGGAAAGACGAGAATTGGTAATCTATTATTTTTATTATTTTAAGTTAAGGTATAAAGTAAAGAGAAAGAGTGGGTAATTTTTTATCTAATGGATAAAATAAAATGTTAAATGTGCTTGTAACAAATGAGTGTTTCACATAATTAAGTCTAATTTAATAGAAGGGCTCCCAGGAGAGGAGTGTTCCACTGAAGATGTCTCCACAAAAATAGAACTGACAACCATAACAAAGACCAGGGAACCATGGAACTTCAAGAGATAGAGAGGACAAAAACTTGTCCATACGTGCTCAGGATGGCTATTTCCTGCAAGGAAACTGCAACTGTTGGGAAACAGGAATTGTCCTCTTGCTTGCAATTGCAATTGGTGCCTTTTAAAGGAAAGTGAGGTGTGCTAGACTCACTTTCTAATTACTCTGTAAATTGCTTATTATAATGCTTGAAAATACTATGTGAATTTAAAGAATTTGAAGTAAACAGTAAAAAGTTAAATAAAATATTGATCTTTAAACGTTACAAACAGATTAAGAGTTCAGATAAATTTGGAATATAGAAACTTTTACAATAAGTTTTTGGAATTGATAAAGAACAGCTTCTCACTAGAAACAGATCTCTTTTGGGTTTTGCAAGGCATAAAGATAACTTATTTTATGATTTTAAAAACTGGATACTAGATGGGACTAAAGATTCTAGGCAGAAGGACAAAACACAATCCTATTTTTGATGTTAATTAACTAGGACCTATAAAATGATGCAAAACTTTATAACATTGAAACTATTAAAGAAGACTTTTGAAGAATGGACCCCCAAATTAGCAGCCATAATATCAGCAGTATCAGTCATGATGTCTACCGCTATGGATAGATTATGTCCAAAAGATGTTATTAAAGAAATGACTGATGTAGAACAAAATTTATCTGACAGACAGAGATGGTACTGAAAGTGGATTTACAAGGAAGGACTTGGAAAAGGATGTCTCATTGGATATACAAAAGAAACTGATCATTATTTTTAAAATGATAAGGAAAATACAAATCATAAACCAAGAAAGTGACCTGAATATTTTTTTTCTTAGTGGATTTGCAAAAATGACTTATTAAAACTTGAAGAACTGTAATGTGATGGGATAAGAAATCAAATCCTACAATAATATTTGTCTGAACTGAAGATTATTAGAAGAAAAAGAAAGGAATATAAAGTTAGCTTATTTGAACAAAGTTAAAACAAGATGTGTTATTACTTTTGGGCTTTCTGCTGACACCCAGACTGATGATATTTTATGAATGTGCCTATAGATAAGAGACGGGATATAACATGAAGAGATACCAGTAATTTTTTAATATTAGAAGGGATGAAGAGGCACTACATTTATTTATACTTAGGATGAAGGTATATGATAATGATATATGATAATGATAATATTGATACATGATTGTATGTCTTATAGGTTGAAGTAAGCCCACTAGAAAATGCCATTCAAGTAGTAGAGAACAAAAATCAGGAGCTAAGGACACTGATAAGCCAGTACCAACACAAACAAATGCATGGGAACATTAATCTACTCAGTATGTGCCTGAATGGAGTTATTGACGCTGCTGTGAATGGTGGTATAGCCCGTTATCAGGAGGTAAATTCAGACTCTTCTGATTGTTATTTTCAGCAGCTTTTCACAATACAGTTATATTTCATTGTTGTCTTTAACAGTATATAAGAATGTTTAATTATATAAGAAACGTGTCAATTTTTCATAATTATAACACAATACTTAGCTTTATGTCGGTATTCTAGTCTAAACAACAATAACTATTTTATTTTGGGCAATTCTACCTTCTATATATAAGTAAATTGTTATAGCATCATATTTTATTGTTTGTATAAATATGAAATTCATTGAAAAGATAAAAGTTTGTAATTATAATAATTACAAATAATAAATGCTCCTTAGAAATTGCTGTGTTAATAAAATAATGAAAGTCATCTTGATAATGTTGGATATATGTCTAAAGAGAAGGATAATGACAATTGCTAAAAATTCATTACTTTTCAACAACTAAGCTGTTAAGTAATATTGATTTTACTTAAAATGTAAATTAGTAAAATTATTTCTGGATTATCTGCATGCAGAAAATCCACAAAACACTTTTATATTGATGATTTCTGAAGTTGCTTATTTCTCATCTACTGTTCAGTGGAATTAAACAATGAAATAAACAAATGAAAGTTTCAGGATTTTGTGAAGAAGTATGTTGATAGTATTACTGTTGAAATTTAAAATAAATTTGGTCTACTAAAAATTGCGCACTATCCTAGAGCAAATTTCCTTTGCCACTGATTTATGTGTTGGCTTTTGAATTTACAAAATCCAAGAAAGGGGAAAATATAGGCTGCATAAAATGGGAGGAGAAGGTGACAAAATATTTAAAATGGATTCCATAGTCATGTATAAAAAATAAAGCTACCAAGGATTATTTTTGTTCTTCCTTACATTTATTAAGAAACAGGCTATTTCCAAAGTACAACTTATTATTTTTCTTCTCCAGGCATTTTTTGATAGGGATTATATCTCCTCTCATCCTGGAGATGCAGAAAAAATCACACAGTTGAAAGAATTGATGCATGAACAGGTATTCTTATCTTTTTAAAATAAAAATAAATAATACTGTAATAAAATTTGTTTCTTTTAATATTATCTATAATAATGCAAAATAACATGGGATTATTCAAACTATATAAAATAGTGAAGACCAGAACATTATACTACATATATATTTGATTTATTCTCATATTCTAAAACAACTATAGAATTTAATGACAAAACAAAAAAATGTAGAAATATAGAATTCGATGTCTACCTTTATAACATAATGTACCAGATGTATAAAACAAATACAGATACTTGAAAATAACTGAAAACTAAGAAAGTGGGGACAATGCAAATCTAAAAAATGCTGTTTGCTAACCTGTATTAGCTACTTGCATCTTCAATAGTATAAAAATAGAAGTGTACACACTTGTAGAACAAATCTTTTAAAAAAGATTATGCTCTCAAACTCACATTTCATTTTCAGATAAAAAAAATACCAGTGTGCTAGGTTGTTTCATAGTTACTTAAAACAAACAATTTATCAATTACCTTTCAATATATATCTGCATTTTTGTTATCTTTCCAATTAAAACTGTTATCATTTCATAGTCTTAACATTGCTACTAAAGTTTGTTTCAGAATAGTTACCAGGGAAGTAAATCAATTATTGCTTAGATATCATTTACAATTCTTACTAGTAAAATCTGGAAATCATATCTAGTAATCATGAATTATAATTTAAATAGCCACAATGTTTAAATATTTTTAGTAACCTTACAATATTGAAAGCATTATACTGTAGTCTCATTGAAACTGAATATTAAGTTGTGATTTTAATTTTAATAGGTACATATCCTAGGAATAGGTCTGGCAGTACATGAGAAGTTTGTACATCCCGAGATGCGTCCACTCCATAAGAAATTAATTGACCAATTTCAAATGATGCGATCTAGTTTGTACCATGTAAGTTCATAACAGTATTTTTGACCTTATCCAATATGTCTTATAAAATAGAATAAATATAAATTTGTACTTTTAAACTCTGAGACAGAATTTTTAGTAACACTTGAGATGTATGATATTGTTAACAGAAATACATTTTGGATACCACTCGTGTCTAGTTAGCCATTGTACCTTAACTTTTTCCTTAATTAGATATTATTCCAGTGAATGGTTTTATATGGTCTTGACTGCTTCATCATCCATATATAACCAATACTTGCAAGTACATGAAAGAACTGTTTGGCTGATAATGAATGAGCTAATAAACATATTTTAGTTTTCAGTTCATATATAAAATAAAAAATAGAATTATATATTTGAATCATTTTGTTTTTTGTTTCACTGAAATTCAGCATTGAGATATGATTCTGTGATAAGATGGGCAGCCAATAAATTTTATAAATAAATAAACACATTAAACACACATTGTTAATGTAGTGTCTTTGTGATATTATTATCTTCATGTTGTGGTTCCATGCCAAGAAATAATCCAGTTTAAACAAAACATTATTAATGCTATTCTAAGATACAGAATTTCCATACTTTTTGTCTCTACTGTTGATCTTCCTGTTATGTTTTGGAAGTGAATTTTGTCACCATAACTCAATTTTTCAGTTTCTTCATCTTTGCTTATTTTATTTGTATTATCTTCCCAACAAATAGAGCTGGTGGACAGGCCATATTGGTTGTATATAGTTTTATAAACAATATTTATATTCTGCCTTATCCATTCACAACTAGCATTTAATGCCCTTTACAGGAGTTACCCACTCTGGAAAAATTGAGTCCAGCCTGCTCAGGAACAAGCACACCACGCAGCAATATGCTTGTATCACACAGTCCAATGAGTCCAGAGAGCATCAAAGTGATGCATCGCCACAGGTAATATTTTAAACACGTTCTATTTTAGAAGAGTCTTTCTGTATCTGCATTTTCAAATAACATCTGAAATTGAATAATTAATATACCTGCCACATGTAACTAAAAAGTCTCATTAACAAAACTTTTGGACTATTCAAAGTTATAATAAATAAAAGGCCAGACTTTTAAATTCACTTCATTATTGTGGAATTAAATTTCCTATAAGATTGTTTTTGCTGTCTGAACATTTATTTTTCTTATTATTTATGTAGTAACCTGACATTAACAGGTAATAAAATAAGATCATAATGATTATCAATCAGGTTTAATAAAAACAATATTTTTTCAGTTATTAATATCTGAAAATTGATGTTATTGAAGACCAACATACTTATATAGGCTGAATGATTGCAAGTTACACATTAATGATGAAAATACAAAGAAGAAAATGATTTAGTGCACCTTAGAATATTTATTAAAGACGGGAAAATGATGGAGAAATTTTAAAATGTGCAAATGTAGGTAGAAAAATAGTGCTCAGATGTCAGGAATGAATGAACGTTTGTCAAAAAAAACCCCCATCTTAACCAAAATGGCTGTGTATAAAACCATGATTCATTCAGAACTGAAAGTCTGGGTGTGTCAAGAAAAACATATGCTGAAATGGAAGTGGGTTACTTAAGTGTATGGGATAAAACCAGAACAGAGTCATAAATTAATGGGTGCTGTCAGATAAATTTGAATTACAAAAGCAATCAGTATGAAAGAAATACTCAGCTTTTTTGATCATATAGATAAAATGAATGAAGACTGAATTGCAAAAATAATATACAAACAAGGAATTAATATTTTTGAGAGGAAATAAAAAGATGGTTAGATGGAGTTGATGAGAACTTGGAAAAGAGAGATTATTAGTTTAAAAAAGAAAAGACAATATCTGGATAGAATACAGTACTACTTTTTTCTTCACCTGTTTATTTCAAAAGAGAATAGTATGATGAAAATATTTATATTGCTAGTTTTAACTATTTTCAATTGGGAATGATATATATACAGTATATTAACTTGCTAATGTTTTCCATTCAGAAATAAAAAATGCTTGTCTGTACATGTTATGAACAGACATGTATAAGAATTCGAAGTTCTGCATGTTTCAGCATGAACTTTTCTTCATTAAACAAGCTTAAGAAAATATTTGTTAATAGCAGTTTTGTATATTTTTTGTAGCCCATTGAATATGCTGGGTACAGTCCGACACTCGTCATCTTCCCTTTCTTCCCATACATCAAGTGAAACAGGAAATATGGTTATATTAACAGACAGTTCTGTTGGAGAAAATGCAGAGGATGTGTACCACATGCAGGTATCATGCAAATATATTAGAAACATATTGCAAGCAGTATATATAATTCATGATTATTTTACAGAAAACTATAGATTATATACAATGTGCTTGTAGAAGTTACTACTGTAGCATAATAGGTATCTATTGTCTATGCCATTAACTTGCCTATGAGGCCTTAGGCAAAATATCTTTCTTCGGGGCCACAGTTCTCCAAAGGGTTCTATCTAAGGCACGGGTGTCAAACTCGCCATGTCATGTGATGTGTTGCGACATATCAGGACTCTTTTTGCATTGCCGGCAATGTGGTGGTTGCTGCTTCAGTATATGAAACCGGCCCATGGGCCGGCAATTTGACACCCCGATCTAAGGGCTCCATGATACCAGACCTGATGACAAGGACATTATAATCCGTTATTTATCCTTTGTGAGAACCTTCAAGATTTGCACCTGCTGAGGTAAAATGAATATTCCAGAGCTACCAAAATCTTCTTTCTGCTGTTCCTTTTGCCTTTTTATTGCTTCTCTAGAGTCATAGATAGATAAACTTCTTATAGCAGGTTACTCTGTTTGAAGAATTGAAAATTTCACACTGGCCCAAATAGTGCAGTCCTATATGCCTGAGTGTACAAATAATAACTTGAAGTATAAAGTTAAAGGAATGTAGATTTCTTTTACATTGCATGGAAAGCACTAGTGAGTACATTTTGCAATATTGGATATGAATTGTATTAATTATGTAAGATAAAGGTGCTATGAAGCAAATTGTGAGCCACCCAAGGATATGACAAATAAGATGGGTGGCATTATAAGTATTTAAAATAAATAAACTATTTTCCCCAAGTCCTTCATCTTGTTAATATTGTCATATATATCACAGGCTCCTTAATAATAAATATTTGAACTTACTTATCACGGTTGCTTTTGCTTATTCCCAGGCCAGTCCTTCCACCTCAAGCTTGAGCTCTACCCATTCTGCGCCATCTCAAATGATCAACTCTGCACCTGCTAGTGCAAGAGGTATGAATGAGGCATTTAAGATAAAGTAATGCAAAGTCCTACAAATGGCTGAGATAATTGCTTTTTATTTATTTATTAAATTTATATAGCAGCCCATCTCACGGAAAGTGACTTTCAACTGCAGTACCATATTCTGCCTAGATTTCCTGGACACTATAGGATATTTTGGTGTTCTGCTCTTAGAACAGGGCAAAGGGACATCCAGGAGATTTTATATCTATCACTGTTTTGCCCCCAAAAGCTATAGGTGCTCCATAGTGGTGGAATTCAAATATGTGAACAACCAGTTCTCTGTGTGGATGCCTCTTCCGGAAGTCCATTTTGGGCCTGGGCAACAAAAAAATAGCTACCGGTTCTGCTGAAGTGGTGCGAACCAGTTGAATTCCACCGCTGGTGCTCCAACACTGGAAGTTTTTAAGAGATTGGACAACCATTTTTCTTAAATGATATAGGGTTTCCTGCCTGAGCAGGGGGTTGGACTAGAAGATATCCAAGGCCCTTCCAACTGTTATTCTATTATTCTGAAATATAGAAATAAAATTGGGAGTATGTCTGAGATAATCCCAGATTGATTGTGCTATCTTTATCAGCCTTGCAGTTTAATTCTACCCAGACAAGAGCAATTAGAGAGGGGATTGGGAGATATAAAAAACTCTTTTCACTATTGTGTTGTGAATAAACCTTCAAAGCTTTAGATAGATAGAAGAAACAAAGAGGATCTTCCCAATAATTGATATAATACTTAGAAAAGAAAAAATTGTTGAAATATGCATTGTACAAAAAGAGATCACAGATAGTTCTTGACTTACAACAGAGCATTTTTGAGTTTTGAGTTTTGCCCATTTTATGACCTTTTTTTGCCATAGTTGTTAAGTGAATCATGTGTTCATTAAGTGAATCTGGCTTCCCCCATTGTCTTTGTTAGAAGCTGTCTGGGAAGGTTACAAATGGCAATCACATGATCTCGGGACAGTTCAACTATAATAAATACATGTCATTGTCAATTGTCCAAATTTTGATCACGTGACTATGGGGATGCTGCAATGGTTGTAAATATGGAAACCGGTCATAAGTCACTTTTTTTCAGTGCCATTGAAACATTGAACAGTCATTAAACGAATAGTTGTAAGTCGAGGATTACCTTTAGTTGATATAGAAACTCAGTAAATGAACAAAAATCTTATTCTGTAAAAGCTCATGGTTTGGGTTCCCAAACTGTTGCCCCACAGTACTAACATGCCCAGGGTGATCTCCCTTGGCATTCAACATGCTCTGTGTTCTACCCGACTTAGAGTGAAAATAATCTTTAATATAAAACTTTAGAGTTTAGACAATGTAATGCTACAAAGCGAAATGGTAGCCTCCAAAATCATTCTTATTTTCCAGGGTTCCCAGGACCCTTATGCTTTCTTCAAATATAAATATATCTGGAGGTTTTAGCTGAGGATTTTCTTTGGAAATGGGCACAGAAAAAAGGAGCAAAATACGTATGGGTGATAGGAAGCATCCTATGAGAGAATTTATAGGAGTAGCATTACGTTTCTGATGAAATGCTACTTTGTAGTTAGTTATATCTCTTATGGTAGCCATTTTGCAGAAGTTTTCCATTCCCAGAAACTATTTTGCAAGACTATCTACAACAGGGGTCCCCAGCCCCAGGCCACGGCCTGGTACTGGGCCATGGGCCATTTGGAACTGGGCAACACAAGTAGTGGGTGAGCACACAAGTGCGCGGAGCTCCACTTATTCAAGCAGCGGACAAGTGTGCAAAGCTCCATTTGCATGAGCTGCACACATACACACTCACCCGCTGCTCATGCATAACCGTACCTCTCCCCGTCTCTGCCACTAACGCTGCCGGTCCGCAAAGCCGGAAAGTTGGACACTGCTGATCAACAACTTTGGTCTCAAAATTATAAAAGCTTCTACCATTCCCAAAAAGTTTGTTGCCCCTGGTCTACAGTATACCCCTTCTGATCTTTTACCTTTAAGTAAATTGTCAAAAAAAGATGAGTCTTCTAAATATAGGGGAAGTAAATAGTTGGTATACATTAACTGAGGGAGCTAAACATGAATTTCTTGCACTGAGATAATATTTCGAGATACATATATGTAAACTGTATGATATATAATCAGAAAGTAATAGTTTCTTTGTTTTTACATCACTTCTTAGTAACATTCCCCACTTTTAAAAAAGTAATTGCTTTTTATTTTCCAGAGGAACTTTATTGAGAAATCATGCCATTAAAAATAATTTTGGTTTCTTTTCATTAAGTACCAGATGTAACAATTCCTTTTATATTGGACTGAACATTACATATAAATTGATGCAAAAGTATTTAACATTAGTAAGATGATATAATAATAATGGGGATAAATAAATATGTGACCTCATACTTGTAAACTAATTGTATCAATCTAGAAGTATGCATTTTGCAGAAGAATATTATTATAACTGCTGGTAACATACTGGATTTGTATATGCTGAATTTTTCAAAAAGCTTTCCCACTGTTTTGATTCTAGAGAGACCAGACAATCTGTTTAATGGAGAGCTAATAAATAAATCAGCATTTCCCTCAAAAAGAATTAAAAAGTAAACAAAATGATCACTTTTTATTCCTTTAGCTTCATATAGAAAGAAATGTTTACGTACTTCAGTATATGTTTATGACATATACTGAAATGTTATCATTTATTTTTAAACAGTGTCCCCAGAGTAACTGATAAACAATTTGAAATTCTAGAAAATAGTAAAATAGAAAAATTAAAATCATTTTGATGCTTCATTAATAATGTATTTTTATGAAACCACCATGGAGGATGATATTGTTTAGCAAACCATATTGATCCTGGTGCAAAAATAGCAAGGTTTTCGTTCATTCATTTGTGCTTTTTAATTTTAATGATTTTATACGTCAAATAAGCACTGGCACTAAAGTAAGATACAATCCATGTTTCAAATGCCTAGCTTTGCCAATCTACCTCAATTCTTTTATATTTATTTATATTCTTTTTAATTTAGTGCTGAAGGGTGCTGGATTGACAACTCTGGAGGCTGAAGCCCTCTATTTATCCACAGAACAGATACAGCCTGGGCGGCAGCAGTGCAAGCTTTCCCACACTGCCCCCACCAATGTGCCTCATCTCTGTCCTGGAGGGACCACCTCTAGAGGTGAGAAGAGAGATTGGTCTCCATGACTCTTTCAGTCCTTGGCCTTTCTGTTAAGATCGCTAGCTTGTGGTAGCCTACCCCGTTCAGTCAGAAAATGTGCCACATTCATCAACAGGTTTCACTGTATCTATTCAGTGTCCATAGATTCCACCGTGATTTCAGAAATTGTTACTGAGCCTTGACTAACTGAATGGAGATATCAAGGATCATTGTTGGCCTAAATGATATGTCAGTCACTACACTTTTTCAACAATTTCTTAATTTTCAGCAAAATATTGAGTATTTTGATTGGCCCTTTCATAAGCCAGCATGACATGAAATTCAAATTAAAAGAATACTTTTCTTCCTGGCATATTATTCTATTTCATGAAGTAAATATTAGTGAATAAAAATAATATGTCGAGCTGTTTCATTTGCAGTTTACAAAAATCTCAAAGTACTATTGAAAGTAGTACTATCTAGCAAAATGCTGGTATATTCTAAATTCATACCACTGAAATAAAAAGTATCCTGTATTAATCCATTTTCTATAGTTATATTCTGTTCTTAGACTGGTAAAACATAATGCATAAAGCAACTTTAAGAAGCTTTGCTTCACAGATTAATTTATCTGCATTCTAAAGTATAACTCAAAATGCTATTTATTATCAGTGTAAGAAGTCATATGATCTTTTTCCCCACAAATGCTAGTTATGAATTTCTGATCTAGTACATACCCTTCCTTCAGAATTGAACTTAGAGCACAGATAAAACTTCCATAAGGATTCTACAAGCACTAGCTATTCTTGGATGACAATACTGAGATAAAATTTCTATATATATCTGTAATTAGCAACTAATGTAATGTCAATCATATTAAATAAACATTCATATATTTGTTTCATAAATCTAAATACAAAAAAACTGAAGTGCTTACTCCTTCACATGCTACATAATAGGGTGCCATATTTATTGTTAATAAGATCATGACTGCACTAACAGTTGTATTTATTCCATGAATTTATTGAAAAGGAGGACTAGTGTCCCTCTGTAAGGATTTGTCCTGTGGACTAATGCTAGAGAAGCACTGGTTGCCATGGCCTCATATTTTATATATCAGGTTTCACCTGAAATTAAAATAGGAACGTTCCATGCAAAAATATATTAATTCTGTTCAAAAACAATATTTAAATGTAGTTAATATATTTTCAAGATGGCTCCCTGCTATATTCATAGTGGGAGCAATCTGGTAATTCGTGCTATTTTATCAGATTTTTCTTTCCTCTGCCTAAGCAGCAAATCAAGTTTATAAATAATTACATAATAATCAGAATTATATAGTAGAAGATTAATATTAGACTTGCATTTAAAAGAATGTTAAGAGATTTAGCAAATATGAACTGATCAATACATGTTTGTTGTACAACAAAGTTATTTAGGAATAAGGAATACCAGATGTACAAAATGAGAGATAATGAATTGTGAGATTTTGAGTTCACAGTGAAAATGTATGCCAAAAATTTAGCTTTATGTTAGCTATATAGAGACTTACAAGTCTTAAGTTTTATGTGCATCTAGAAAATGGAACAAATGATTTAGAACATATATGTTTCTAAGTATCTTTTAAATATTTTTCATCTCATTTCTTTGCTCAGAAACACAGTATGGTATTCATAACTTGTTTTCCTCTTATAATAATTATATAATTATAAAGAATACTATGCTATATCAACATGCCTTTAATATAAACAGATGAAGTATAATTTGAATTATAATCTCACAACATACATAATATGTAAACGCTTCAGTTTAATTATCTTGCAGAAGAACTATGTTTGCACATTTGAGTAACTCACACATTTTCCCTAAGGAAAAAGAAAAAACAGAGTGTAATTAATGATATCTTTCTTTCCCAGAATGCTTTCTGAGCTATCAGAAGTTTTTGTACATAGAAAGCATAAAGAGAATTTCAGTCAGTGCCCCATCTTTTTAGCAGCTCTCCACATTCTTTAAACCTACTCAAAAGGCTTGGATCTTTCGATGAAACAGGGCTTGTTTTGTGGAACAGCAAGAAAGGAGAATCTTGAGAAAATCATTTGGTCACCCTTTTCCATAAACCAAAGCCTCTGCTTGATTACAAAAGTCACAGGGTTTTGTGGATTCCTAGGATTTAATGCAGATTCAGAATCCCAGACACAAGTTGTAAAATTTCCTTCTCTTTTATTACTACACCAAACCAAGGCAAGTCTTTAGCTTCCGTTTTATGTAAGATTCCTTTGCAAGGGTTATTGAAAACTAGATAAGGCCAAAGTCTTCTCTTGGTCTTCTGCCTTCCACTGCTCTCTTGAATGGTAACAACAGTAGCTTAAGTTAGAAGCAACTATCCAAGCAATTTTGATGTGGGTGTTTTCTTCTCCTAAAGGTATAATCAGCTTAAATGTTGACTGAGTATTAACATCTCTACTGGCAAAGTAAAGCTTCTTCCTGCTACTGATAAACTATACCTTGTTAAGTGCGTATATTAGCATAGCAATGAATTACAAATGTAGGTATTTCTATGTTTAAATTCCATTCGTGCTTTTTTATTTAGATATGAGAAAGAGGCTAAGCATACTGAGCTAGTTCTACCTCTGGCTCTTCCTTAAAACTAACAACAAATCTTAAACAACAAATACTGTTTAGATCTGTCTTTGATTGCCGTACATTATTCCTCCAAAACTGTCTTCCAAAACTTACTTCTTCTCGTGTTCTTTTTTAAGACTCCATCTTCTTTGCCAGTTTAACAACAGTCCCTCCCTTCTCCTATGAGGAATCTATGAAGAAACCGCTCTGTCTACTCTTCACTTATGCTATGTCCATCAGCTAACAAAAAGCAAAGTATCTTTGTGACTAATTCTTCAAGATGCATGAATCCCTGAAAACTGACAAGAGTTTTCATGAACTGAGAGATATTTTTGGAAAAGCTCTGTACTTATGGTTCACTCTTAACTTTTTTAAAAATATAACTATGATAAGGGGAAATAGATTAATCATTCCTTAGTTTACATTTCTGAATCCGTAGTCTGAAGGACAATGTGATTGAGAACTGATGGAAATAAAATAGTAGACTTTGGATTACATCTACTCAGGCACTTTTCATTATATAAGATGCCCATCTATGTTTTTAGGAAACAGCTATGAAACTTTGGATTCTGGACTATTTGTTTTAGGGAATGAGAAAGTTTTGCCCCAGTATGACACTATGCTTTGATGCATTACTCTTTTTCTGTACAAGCAAGCAAGACAGTTTTTAAACATGTCCATATACAATTTACTATTTTAAAGCCACTGCACCATAATGATTACAGAAATAAAATGGAGATTGTTTCTATCGTTGTAATGCTTAACACATTTATCTGTCATTGTAGAAAATGTTATGTTTTTAAAGTATAAATAGTAAAATAAACAATTAAAATTCATTTAATAAGGAACTTTTTCCTGGATTCTAAGTATAGGCTATGCTAAAAAAAAGTTGAAAGTCTCTCTGTTTTTCCCCACTTCTCTCTAAGTGAAGTTGAATATTATAGAACACTATAGAATTCTTCTCCAGTAGATGAAAACTGCATCTTTTTATTATGCCGTAACTTACTTCAATATCTCACTCACAATTTTAAGGAAGGAAACGGTTCTCAAACGTTTTGGAACTGTGACTTCCCAAAATGATAAATGTATGTGACATACATACACCTGAATAAAAGTAATGATTTTATTGGGGTTAGGGTTGGTTGAAAATATGCATATTTCTTTCTCCTGTCAGCAAAGTCATCCACTCAGATGTTGCTGTGCATACTGCAAATCAGGAGGGCATTTAATGCAGCAATTGATCCAATGAAATCAAACATTTTAAATTGCTTGTATCTGAATTGGCTGAATTATATATTACTTCTACTGAAGCTGTCTGAGGATTATTTAGTTTGCAGAATTGTGGACAGGCTGTAGTAATGGCAGCTACTGTCTTACCATATTTGCATGTAGAAGGCACATTGTAATACATTTTTGTACTCTTTAAAGATTTATGTGTAGCCCTTCTCTCTCTCTCTCCCTCTCTCTCTCTCTCTCTCTCTCTCTCTCTCTCACACACACATACTTATGTCTGTATGTAATGATTATATGTAAATTAAATGCAATGAATGGACAGGTTCTGTCACTGATGGACTATTAATACTATCTTTTAGTAGAGGCATTTCATGTTCTCATAGTCATTTATTCTTTTCAAATGTTGTCAGCTGTAGATCAGATTCATGCTATATTTTTGGCCATCAGCTGTCATTCAATTTCAATATATGTAGTAAATACCATTTCAAGCTTTAATGCAATATGAATGTACCACATATTCATGCATTCCTATGTGCAAGATTATATGTTGATATGTTCATAATACCTAACAAAACTCCAATGGCACAGCACTAAGAGTAATTTTTATATTTTATTGGGGGGGTGATCCCAAAAGAGGCAGGATATACAAAAACAAATTTAATTAAAAAATAAATGTTTATTTATTTTTCACATTTTTGAACTACCCATCTCCCTCAGAGATAATAACAATCAAACCACGCTGATTGTTTATAAGCCCTGAGTGTTTAATTCAATCAGATTTAGCTAAGTAAATTCAAAACTTCAAGAAGAAAATATTCTAATTATATAATAAATCATATCATTTTCTTATCAATCTTAGCCTCTCTTAAGGCTAGGAGCACTTCTTCCAGATGCTTGTCCAGTGGCATGAACAAAATTTCTCAGATATCCCATTTTCAGCTGCCAATTTTATTGTACAACAAATAGATTATTAATTATAGATTATAGATTGTTATTTTTCTATACAACACCTTTATCAAAGACATCTGTTGTAAAGATTTGATGTTATTTTTGTACAAAATATTGGTATTTAATTGATGAGAAAACTGCTTCCCTGCTAATTCAGTTATTGTAATAGAGGAACTATGTAATTGACAGAGTCAAAGATACTGATTGAAAGATGCCTCTGATATCATTGTTTATGGATCAAACAACTATCTGATTCCTATGTGCATGCCATTGTATTTACAACTTTAAATGATTGAGCCTTTCTTCCCATTTAAATGTGAGTGTGCTGCTCTTTTGCAGTATGTCAACCTAAAAGTAATACCGGAAATAGGTATTTTGTATGATCAGAGATGCATGTTTTTATGAAGCATCCATCCAGTATATCTCTGAGCTATCCACAAACATCTGATAACAAGCAACTTAGATATTCTATTTGCTGTTAAATTGTGTTCTTTTTAAAAAGATGTCAATACCTTTCTTTTCCCTAGTAAGAGAATATATCTAAACCTTTTCCAAATGGTTAGGATTTACAAAGTTCTGTTACTTACAATATTACTTTTTGCATGTTCTTTTACTTTGAAAATGGTCCTCTTTTTTGATTCAGTAGTTTCCGAATGAGTGAACAGGAAAAAAATTAGCAAAAGAGACACAGAGATAACAAGAATAAAGTGCAAAGCAATAATAATAATAATAATAATAATAATAATAATAATAATAATAATAATAATAATAATAATAATAATAATAATAATAATAATAATAATAATAATAATAATAATAGAAAAACGTACATCCAAACCTAACAACAAAAAAGTAAAATAAATTGTGTATAAAAAAGGAAAAAAATGATCCAAATATCAAATAAATTTAACATTAAGCAGGTAGAATCTACCCCTGCTGGTTACTGAGAAAAAGAAAAACTGATAGATTCTCCTCCCTTTTACAAAATGAGTCTACAAATAGTTATAAACTTTCCTATCCCTATTTAACAAGAATAATATATTAAATAAACAAATATTCCAGGCGAGAGACTCCTTGCTAACCACCAATTCCAATACCAAAAGCTGCACAACTACATTTTACAGACTAGGTTAAAGCAGTAACTGTCTTAGAGCCATGTGCTTTTTGAAATTTATGATATCTATATCTGCATTTGGGAAACAATATGAGAAATATTGGATAAAGAGGAGGAACCCGTGACATTCAGTGTGCCATTGTACAATTTTTCATGTTCCAAAAAGTTCAGTATTTTATTCAGATATGCATTAACCTTATCTTTGAGGTGCGTATGAGGATGAGGAAAATATGTTTACTTAAGTTAATATTGTGAGTGATTGAGGGTTCACACCATTTGTGTCATATGTGCTTTGTGAATTAAGTATTTGCTGTGTATATTTGAACATGAGAAAAACTGCAACTCTAATGCTTTCCCCTGTATTACTAATTAATTTATTACTACAATCCACATACTATGTTTCTACTGATGTGAAAGCCAGATCAGCTTTAGACCGATCCGTTCGAAGGGCTCCAACATTCCTAGTTCTGGAAAATTTACCAAGTGGCAGTCACAGCCCTTGTAGCAAGTGTACTTATTCAGTTCATTTTCTTTATTGTTGTTGATATAAACCTAAAGCATAAATTAGAGACATTATAAATATCTAAAAAATTCCAGAAAATTTAATCATTTGGGAGATTGGTGAGCAATGTAACCATTTTTCCCAGATTAAATTTTCAAAAGCTATACACTTCAACATACATTTTGAAGAGTAGAAAAACTGCAATTTTCCAACAAACTTCTATCAAAGTGGAAAATCTAAAGATCAATTTAGCCTCTTACAGTGCTTTCATATGTTGGCAACCCTCTGGAATAGTTTTGAAAATATGCAAATTGATAAAGCCCATAGATGCTATTGGGCTTCTATGCTTGTCGATGCTGTTCTGCCAGTTGAAAGATAGAATTGGCTATAATAGTGTTTTAATATTTTCAGATTAATGTTTAACTGCTTAATTTTTTTGGGAGGGGAAAAATAAATTTGTTTTGAACTTATAGCCCTATATATATATTTGGACCAAAAGACCCATTAGGGCTTATTTTCGGGGATGTCTGACTTTGCGGCCAGCTGGCCACTCCCTCCCATCATCTTCTTGCTCATGGCCGCAACGGTTTACAGGGATTCCCAGGGCAGACGTTCGGGAGGCAAGGGCAGGACTGGCGGAACGTGCCTTCAGATGAGGAGGAGAGCGGTGCGGACAGGCGAGGGAAGCCAAAGAACTGGGCTGCCACCTCCCTCCACCTGCCACACTATTTCCTTTTGCCAGAAGACAAAGCTTCCAGTCTCTGTCATTTCTCCGTCCGGGCGAAAAGTGTTTGGGTACCTATGGGGCGCTTGGAAACAAAGTGAATCACTCCATTTCCAGGTGCCCCATTTGCAAGCAGACGAAGCTTCTAGTCTCCCTCTGGGCAAAAAGTATGCAGTGGAGCCAGGTGGAGGCAGAGGCATGGGTGGGGGAGGTAGGTGATCCGGACATCTCTCGCCTTGCTTTCAGCCATACTGGGGCAGGCAGCTGCACAACGAGTCCGGATCACCTGCCTCCCCCCATGCCTCCGCCTGCTGCTGGTGCCACTGCGCAAGCTTCCCACAAGTCAGGTGGCTGCACAAAATGCCCGGATCACCTGCCTCCCCTCCACCTCTGCACTTGGATTTACCTGTGCGGTGCCAAGGGGCCTGCAGGCTGCAGCGGCTGTTGGATAACATGGTCCTCCACGCACTCGCTGCCTTTTGTGCTGGTTATGCCCATCCTCCCCGGGCTTATTTTTGGGGCAGGGCCTATATTAGGTCCACCCAAAAAAATCAGGCTAGGGTTTATTTTCTGGGTGGGTCTTATTTTTGGGGAAACACAGTATTGTTTGAGTGAGATGTACTGTATAAAATATATGCCAAAGCTGAACATGCAGTACTCCTTCCTATTCAATCAAATATGTTCATTTTTTTTAAAATGAAATGATATAAATGTAGAAAGGCAACTAATAACATAAGCGTGCCCTGCTGAATTGGACCTTTGGCCCATCTCAACCAGCTATCTGTTCTCAGAGTGGCCAACCAAGTGCACAAGTATCTGGTACATCTAGTTTCCCAGGCAGATGGTCTTTTTAGACAGTCACACTGCCATTGAGGCTAATGCTGGCAGATGTTCCAGAAATACTTTTATTTCAGTAAAAATGGAGTTATAGAATTCATTGACGTATTAACCCGGCTGCTCTAACCTGATGGTTCTTCAAGCCACCCAAACTCCCTTTGATAACCTGATGAAAAATGATAGCATAATTCTCTGCCATTTTGTGATGTATTTATTAAATAACTTTCAAATTCCTTGTAAAATTCCACTCTCTTGTCCTTGTCTGATGTAGTTTCATTCAGTTGGTCACTTTCTGCCAATGTCATCTTTGTTCACCACAAGATTCCTCATCACCTCCCATGAGTCGATGATCTAATTAGCCACTCTCTCATTGCCATCTTATATTTGGAATGTTATAAATGTTTGTGAGTTATACATCTCAGGAAGAACCTTTTGTGTTTTGTCATGTGTACGTGATTGCTCTGACTCGTTTACAGGCTCTCCCTCTCTACCAGATAAATACCGTCATCATCGAGAATTGATGATGCTACTACCAGCACACCGGGATCGGCCTAGCAGTGCTATGTATCCTGCAGCTATCATGGAAAATGGACAGGTAAAGTACGTGTGTGTGTGTCTTTGTATGGGTGTATGTGTATGCATGCATACCCATGCGTCTTCATATATGTGTGTATCTTTGTGAGTTAGATTATATCAGCTCTGACACAATTAGCTTAAAAACATTTTCCTATATGTGGGGAGTTGTCTTAAAAATTACCTACAGGAAATTAGCTACTTTCCTGATTTGGGCAAAGGATATGTTTAGTATATATTTTTCTAAAAGCCAGTCTTGGGACATTTCTACACAGTCACTGGTTTCACTCTTCCATGCTATTAGAAGTGTTTCTGGAAGGTGCCACAAGTGTCCTCTCTGCCATCCTTGCCACAGTCACAACTCTGACCTGATCAATAATAGTGGGAGAGAAATCAGCCAGCAGGGCCATCACCCCTTCCTTATTCTTGCCGCATCATGGAGTCACTTGACAGGAAAGCAGAGCCACTCTTCAAATCAACCTGGAAGAATAGGAAGTCTTCCTTGCAAGGCACTGTGATGCTTGATTCCGGGGTTGTAGGGGAGGGAAATGCAGAGTCTAGAGACATATACGTCTAGAGAAAAAAAAAGGTTCTTTTTCTGCTAGAAATGAAGGTACTCTCATCTCCAAAAAGGGATATGCTTCAGGTTATCTCTGTTCCTTCATGTCATAATTACTCTTGCACCCGATTATCTGTCTTCAACAAGACCATCAGCTCTTTTCTTTTATTCAGCATCTTACTAAAACTACCATCAATAGTTTAGAAAGAGAGATCCTCCTTCCTAAAGCATATATCTAATGAATGCTGATAGAAGAAACAGATTGCATGGTTTCCTATTTGTGAGGAAACAGCCAGACTTTTGCAAAAGAAAAAAAGCTCTCAGAAATTATTTAATAATTTGGGGATTTAAAAATTCTACATTCCATTATGTATCAGCAAAAGTATATTGTCACTTACTGCTTTTAATTTAAGTGTAAATGTATTATACCATCACATGCATGCTGATAGTATATACACACTTCAAGACATATAGGGCTTTATGAGTTAAAACCATTGCTTTAAACTACTTCTGGAAAACCATTGTCTACCAACTCAGGACCTGTAGCAAGGTGTAATTTATTTATAAAATTAATGTGGCTACCCATCTCACATAAAACAACTAAAGTCAAACACAAAAACCAGTTAAAATCATTAAATAATTAACATAAGTATAAAAACAATATTTCAAGAGGGTTAAGATGTTATACATGGTTCAACTAACTCTGCTGCCAGGGGATTCCCCAGGCCTGATGAGAAAACTAAATTTTGTGGTCTTTCCAAAAGGCTGTAAGGTATTGGGGGGGATGTTGCAGAGCATGCCTCTTGATGAAGCTCATTGGTAGAAGGTAGTAATTGGTCCCTGAGATAATCTGGCCCCATGTCACATAGAACTTTAAAGGTCAAATACACTATCTTGAACTATACCCAAAAGCAAACTGGCAACCAGTGCAGCTCATGGAGAGAAGTATAATGTGAATCCTTCTTGGAACACCCGTTACTGCCCACATTGCTCCATTTTGCACCAGCTGAAGCTTCCAGTTACTTTTCAGGAGCAGCCTCATTTAGAGCATGCTACACTAGTCCATTCAGGAGATGAGGAGGGCACGAGTGACTGTGAGTAGAGCTTCACAATCCAGGAACAGGTACAGTAGGCACACAATATGAATTTGTGCACATGACACCTAGGGTCAGTTACTACGTGGGTGCTGCATATTGAACCAACTGGTTTTCCTGGAGTCTTTAAAGGCAGCCCCATGTAGAATACATTGTAGTAATCTAATTGGCTTCTCTCTCCAGGAAGAGCTACTGCTGGTGCATGAGCCAATATTTGGCCGAGGTCCACATCACCATAGCCTCCATTGGCCCCTCCAGTTTAAGCTAGAAATCAAGGAAGGTCTCAAATCATGAACTTGCTCCCATGGGGGCAGTGTCATTTCTTTGAAATATAACACCAGAGCTGACAGAGAATCTCACTGAAAAAGAACACACCTCCGTCTTGCTTGGCTTCAAATTCAGCCTTAATGCATAAATTGGTATGATGCGATATAGCCAGGAAATCACTAGCATTAATTGGATTATCTTCAAGGCTTCAGGCACAGGATTTCTGTGCTGTCACCATAGGAATTTCTAAGATAATGCATTTGCTATTTAACCATTTGAGACCTGAACATGATATGCAAATGAGATCTTTCATTGCAAAAAGGATATTTGATTAATTAATCCTATGATTCTGCATTTGTTATATGCAATATTTTTTTTCAATAGTCTTGAATTGCATTTTATCTTTCCTAGCATCCAAATTTCCAGAGAGCCTTATTCCAGCAGGTAATCGGGCCGTGCAAACCCTGCAGTGATCCTAATCTATCTGTTGCTGAAAAAGGTATTGTCTACTCTATTTTATATATGTTTTATACATTCAATTACTGATTTTCCTTCGTAAGCTTGATATTAATAGTATTTCATTTTATCTGATACAAAATTATCCTATCACCCATCTGTTAAGTTTATATATCATACTTTTTATCCAGATAATATCTCCAGAAAACAATTGTTAAGGAAATAATTTCTGAAGCATCACTTATGCATACAAACAAAAATATATTCAAATTGGATTTTTCAAAATAAATAAATAGCTTTTTCCAACCAGTTGAAAAGAATACTGTAGTTAAGAAATTCAGGAAAACCTGTCAAGTTTCCATTTTCTGATTTATTTATTTATTTTGTGACAAAGGGATACACAATGGTTTAAACCAAAAAAGAAGTAAAACAGAACATCTATACTGACANAAATCATACAATAAATGGCCATCTGCAAGTTATTTGCAGGACAAGTTGAGCAGAGAGCAAATGATTAAATGTGACTGCATTCTTTTTGCAGTTCCCTTGTGATGTGCCACACAAATACGTAGGGAAGAATGTTTGTATTGCCATATCACAACACATGCTTATCTGTCAGATTTTGCTGGAATCTTGGTTTGCTGCAGATGTACCATTTATTTCTCCACTGTAAATAAGCAATTAAAATCAGTTGTCCAACAGCAAACAAGAGATTTTTAAATGAACTATGAAACAGAAATGGCATCTGATGGTATAAGAGGTCATGCTGAGGCTGAGAAAGAAAGAAGAGTATCTCTGAATCCCAAAAAATAGCAAATGAGGGATTTCATCAAGGATTTATCAAGTAAATAGACTTAGTCCACCATGAAAACATTTTTTGGAAAAAAAATTTTTTTGAAGAGATTCTTCTTACCAAAGCCACTAATAAATGAGGGCTGGAGGGATCTAACTTAAATTCTCAAGATTCTGTACTCTAATCTCTAATTTTGCTCTCTTATCATGTTCTTCAGTTAAGAGACTTGATAAATAGGGATTGAGACTATTGAACTATGGAATCTAGCCCCAGAGCACAACATAGAGTTTAAAGAAAAATGCACATTAAAAGAATTGTCTCAAATTACTTTTGAGTTCAAATATATTCCCTTTAGATAAAATAAAATGGCTTGAAAGTGTGGCAAAAAGCAGCTTCGCTCATGATAGGAGCAGAAAACCTGCTAAAATAGAAAGCAACTATATTTTGATTAAAAAAATGGATTTGTGAAAAAATGGTTGTGAAAATGGACGAGATTCTAAGGCTGCAAATTGTCATCTTTTTCAACTATAGTACTCTCCTTCAAGTGACAAAGTGCTGATATATAAGATTTTGGCTAATGTGCTCTATCAGATTCGCCTAAGATTGTGCTGGTTGTTTAGCAGTCGAAGAAGCAATTCTTCAGACATGATCAATGAAAAATCTTGTGGATAGTTATTAAAACAAGTTTTTTAGGAAAGATCTAATTTGGAATGTAATTACAGATCAGTATAAACTGTATTTGGTGAAATACTCTTTGTTTAGTGTCATGATTATTGAGAATGTTTTGAAAAACAGTTTGAAGCTATGAAAAACATCTTTATCTTGGTCATCCCGGCACAGTAACAGGCTCTGTTGTGCATATTGTCGTTTCTTTTCCTAATTTTTCGCTTTTTTTTTTAATCTTGCTTTTCAAAGCAAACAACTTACTACAGTATAATATATATATTACTGGTTTTCAGAGTTGTTCTGTTCTTTCAGTTAAAAAAAATCCATTATTTCCTATCATCTACCCTATCCGATAGAAAAATATATGTAACAGCATGGAGCCAGTCCCAAAATACTCCAGAGACTGAAGAAAATTAAAATGTCAGCCTTCAATCCTGTCAAGTCCCAGTAAAACTTGCATTTCACTATTATCCAAATTCAATCTGTTTCCATCCTTCAGCTGTTTCAGCAGCACCGAGCAGCTGGAGTCTGGACAGCGGAACCAGAGAGGCCCGGCCATTCCTGTCTGCTCATGTTGGGAGCATCCTGGTCCCACCAGTGCCTCCCCGAAGTTTGACCCATGGTAAGGAAATGGTCAGGGGGTCTGCAGCAGAACCCCTTCAGTGATGCCCAGACAAAATCATGTGAAGGCCGACACAGACATCTTTATGACTTCTCTAAAAGGAAAGGGAATTCTTGGAAGAAAATATTTCCCTGCTTCTCTTGGCTGACAATTACCTAAACCTTGAAAACTTCAGAAGGGCTGTGAATGTGCTTTGGGACTGGACTTAGATTTTTGAATGATGTAAGGTAACCTGATGTCTTGCCGTAGGTTTTGATGTATAAATATATATATATATATTGAGCTCAAGTTATTTTTTGAAAACAAATATTACTTTAGAGATTTTTATCCTCCTTCCAAGGACAATCAAGTACCAAAAAGTAATTGAGATTTCAGATGTGGATTGCTAATGAGCCTGTTTTCTTGCCACGGGAGCCTTGATACAATATCAGCTGTTGGTAAAATTCCGCTGCCTTTACCCTTTATTTTCCATTTTATGTTTATTAAAAACATTAGACTGTATGTACATAAAAAGGCTGATTTCTGAAAGTGAGTATTGAACTACTGTCAGGATTAACATTTGCTTTAACCAGTATTGCACAAATTAAGACGTATGAATAGATCAGTGATCCTGCCCTATGTGACTTCCCTTATAAGGTCACTATTTACTACACTTTGATGCCTTCCACCATCATCTTAATGACGCTCCCCCAGCGCTGCCTGCACGAACATTGCGCAAGGTAAATGTTTTGTCATATTTCAGAACCTTCTATCCAGTCAGTTACAGTTCTTTTGGAGAACTGAAGAGTGGCATATAAAATAAATACATTATTGATATCATTTCTCTGTCATATTATATCACCCTAATATTGCTTAGGTTAGAATTTTAGGATATACCTGTTATACCCAGTTTTTGGAGAGATTAAAAGCAAAAATCAGTATCCCTAAGAGAAACATACAAACTGCAAGCTATTATATAAGGGTCTCCTGGGTTATTTGAGAATAAGATGCTAAAAAGTGAAACACATCACCAGGATGTTCAATATATATATATATATATTGCTATTTATTCTTTTATATAAGCTGTTCACCTTGAACAAGTTCATATAAATAGCAGTCTAAATTATGTCCAATTTTTACTTTTGCTTCCAGACTAATGTGAGAGGATGAGTCCAAAGTTTCCTCCTAGCTTAATACTAGGAAAGGAAAAGGATTCTTTGTTGCTGAGCTGTGCTGTCAAAATCAAAGAGGCGATACACAGTATATTCTAAACTTAGCTGAACATCTAAGACACCACTGACAAAACAAGCCTTTTCTTAGCACATATTTTCATTTCCAGTTATTTGAACATATTGATTCAAAAAGAGATACTTAACTAGGTCTTTAGAAAGAAAATAGTCTGCTTATTATCTCTATTTTGTTTTCCAGAATTTGTTTATTTCCCAAAAATTCCATCTTGACTTCACTTTGAACTACCTCTCCACTGAGTTGAATTAAAGTTGAATCTTTAATTCTTAAAGATTATTTTCATCTCTAAATATATATCACAAACAGGTGTAGCATTTTAGAAGCATAGGGGAGGTGAGGTATGTTTCTTTTTAATTGAGATGAAAATCAAGAATATCACTAAAATGAGCTGAAAATAGGAATAATATTCTTTTATCTACAGCAAACATAAAGTATTCACCATGGAAATACATGAAACTCTTTGTATGTTCTAATACATATATATATATGTTTGTCTGTTTTGCTTTGCTTTTCCATTTAAATAGTCTCCTCTTCACCCGATACCTGCATCCCCCACAAGTCCCCAGTCTGGCCTGGATGGAAGCAATTCCACTCTTTCTGGTAGCGCTAGCAGTGGTGTTTCCTCACTAAGTGAAAGTAATTTTGGCCATTCGTCTGAGCCCCCTCCTCGAACAGACACCATGGATTCTGTCCCTAGCCAGACGTGGAACACTGACGAAGACTTAGAGACGCCCTATCTGCCTGTCAGGTACAGTCTCTCAGAACCTGATGTTTTAGAAACTCTCAAAACCCAGCCATGCCGAAGCCACTCCGCTCCATCTGGAGTCATTCCTCAGGACACTATGGACCCTCCAGCTCTACCCCCGAAACCGTATCATTCCCGTCACCCAAACTTGGATAAAGAAGAGGGAATGATTCTGGAAGAGGATGAAAAATATCGAGCGCTGCATCGCAAAATTGCCCAACCAGCTACTTGTGCAAAAGAGGAGCAAGCAAGGGTGGCATGGGAGCATGGCATCAGCGAGCAGTAGGCAGAATTTTCAGAGTATAGTTTGTATGATCATTCCAGGTTTTAGAACCAGAACAGTGTGTGGAAAAGTAGAGGAGAAGTTGATTATTTTTTTCCCTACTGCTCTGAGATTGACTGGAAACAGAGACTGAGCCAGCATGTAAAAAAACCTGCTGCTTTCCTTTTTATTTAATTTTATACTTTCCAAGTTTTTAGTGGTTTGGGATTTGTTCTTTTTCCCACACTGGATGCTACATTCCTTCTACAGTTTCGGACAACAGAAGAATTGAACAACACACAGGGAAGTGGCATGGGATTTTTACAAGCTTTTGGTTTGAAGATGTGCACAAATTGAAGCAGTTGCACTAGGAATGTGTTTATTTGTTGTGTTAAAGGGATTTGGGGATTCCATGAAATGTCAAGCCAGAAGGTGCAGTTTAAAGTTTGAAGTACAGTGAATTCTGCTTTTGAAGATACTGGATCTTTCAGGCTTCAGGCATATGAACTCTTTTGTGGTGATCTCCCTGCGCTGCCTCAGGAATGCTGAAGCAATCTGACTTATGTTCGCTTGCTATTGCCTATTTTAAATATTTTCTAGTTTGCTAGACTTTTTATTTCAATTTTTTTCTCATTATTATGGTGTATTCAAACAAGCCGTAGCCCATTTTTGGCCAGCTGTGCCTAAAGAAGCTTTTGGCCCCAGCATTCTTTTATTCTTAAAAAATGGTGTTGCCAAAAGCCAATTCAGGATTGGAGAAGGAATAACTCTGATTCAGCAGCTGGGAATCTAGTCTAGACTAAAATAAAAGGAAGAACTGAGCGCATACTTGATCTTTGCCTCAAACGTCTTGTGTCAAGTTCCCCAAAGACTTTCATGTCACACAAACAAACAAAAAACCCCAACCTTGTTCCAGTGGGTTAAAGTATAGGTATTAAAATTGTGACTGATTGAAAGGCATTGACATACAGAGGAAGGAGCTACTTAATTTGTATTCAAGAACTAGTTCTACCAATTAATTTAACTTGTTGCCATTATACATTATCACCAAAGGAACCATGATACATGGTGCCATATATTATGCAGTAGCTGATAGCGTAACTAAAGTTGGAAAAGTGTCAGAAAATGTATGAAAGGAATACACACATTAAGCAATATGGAAAACTTATAATGCAAAATAGTTTTATATTGATAATTGAAGAATTTTAATCAATGCTTCATTTTCTTATAATTCATTCCAGGTTCTTAAAATGGAAAATATAAATGGAAAAGCTTTAAGATCCAGATTTGTTTTTGTTTTTTGCCCAATCTTTGGAAGGGTAAACATTCCATTTATTTTTACATTTTTCACAAGCACATTGTGAAAAATTTATAAGTTCATGGCTGTTCCACAAAAGTCCGAACTAAATTATGAATCACTTAATATTGTAGGAAAATGGATCCTATTCACTACAATGGATTTACTCAGTGTTTCTCCCACAAAGGCAAATAATTAAAACGTCTATCTATTAATAGAACATGCAACACTCGTAGAATGGATTCTCCTTCTTGTGCCCTTTATACTCTCAAGATGTACTCCAGGGGTCTTCTTTGAAGCAGACTTGAGGAGTATAAAAGCAAAAAATAATAGCCAATGTATGAGTGAAAGTCTGCTCATGAAATGTAAATAGAATCTAAGAAAAAAATCAAATTTAAAATCTTGATTTTTGTAATTAGTGAATCATTATTTGCAGGAAAAAAGGGAAAAAAATTAAAGACCAAGGGTACAATGTGCAACAGCTTCCTGTGGCCGAAATTGCTTTTCATGGAAGTACAGGTAGTCCTTGACTTACAACCGTTTGTTTAACAACCACCTGAAATTATGACAGTGCTGAAAAAACTGACTTATAATTGGTCTTTGCACTTAACAACCATTGCAGCCTCCCCAGGGTCATGTGATCAAAATTGGGAGATTGGCACTTGGCATGTATTTGCAATGGTTGCAGCATCCTAGGGTCACATGTTCATGATTTGTGACCTTCCCAGGGATTTCCCACATGCAAAACTAATGGGGGAAGCTGGTTTCACTTAATAAACGTAGCAAAAAAGGATAGTAAAATCAGGTGCGACTCATTTAATGATTGCATCACCTAGAAATGGAAGTTCCTCTCCCAGTTGTGCTCAAAAGTCAAGACTACCTGTAGGTTGTTCAGTTACTTTCTTCAGTGTCTCTTGTGTGCATAAGACACATTAAATTCTTAAGTGAAGTAACATGAAAAGTTGATTTTGTTTACAGTCGTTTCTTAACTTGGTCCCATTAGCAGCATTTTCCCACTGGTGCCCCCAAAAGCGTATCTATAAAAGCACAGTAGAAAACATAAGTTTCAAATTTTAGAACATCAAACATCCAGGCATCCTAAATTTCACTCATCCAAAACTCCAGCAGGATTCTTGAAGTATATAATCTTTTTGAAGTTTGAGAGAGCGGCAGCACACTCCCAAGCATGTTTAAATAAAATATTTGTTTAAATTCATTGAATCTTGTTCTATAATAAGTGATGGTTAGAGGATTGAATTCTGGATGTTAACTATATTTTTTCTTTTTATTTATTTCTGGATTTTTAACAGGTCGTATAATATTTATTTAATAAATTTATATAGCTGACCTACTAATGGCTGGTAACAAAAGATAAAATATAACACACAAATCAGTCAAGACCACTGAAAAACACTTTACCAACACTTCCCTCAGACAGAAGCCAGGCTCCATTGATATTGTGGCCTGTATGCCTAAAGGAAAAGCCAGGTTTTCACAGACTTGTAGAAGCAAAAAAGGTTGAATTATTTCAATGTTCAGAGAGGGAGATTATTCCATAAGGGAGGTGCCGTAACAGAGAAGGCACACTTCCTAGGATCTATCAAGTGACTTGTTTCACTGAGAGGATTTGGAACATGCCCATCTTTATGTATTTAGTGGAACAGGCAGAAACAAATGGGGGTAGCAGTACTACCTCATAGATAAGGTGACAATCAGTACCTTGAATTGCACTTGGAAGACTACTGGGAACCAGTGAAGTTTACATAGCAGCAGTGTTAGATGAGCAAATTGTATTGTATCCAGAACTGAACATGCCACTGTCTAATTGGGAGGTTGAAAGCCAATTTGATGTAGTGATTAAGGAATCAGGCTAAAAACCAGGAGACTGAGTTCTAATCCTGCGTTGGGCACAAAGCCAACTGGGTGACCTTGGCCCAGTTATTTTCTCTCAGCCTTGGAAGGAGGCAATTGCAAACCATTACTGAAAAAACTTGGCAGGACAACTTCAGAAACATGTCCAAGAAATCTCCAAGACCTGGATATGATTGACCAGAAGAAAGGAAAATCGGGAGGTTATTAGGGCACTGCCTCCCAATCTAGGAACTGGCACAACTGATACATAAGATGTCTCTACTCAAAAGACCTTTTTCCCACAACTGCTATCTGTTCCTCAATCAGAGGACTACCAGACTACCAAACTCTGTGGGAATGTCACCCCACCCGAAATTAAGAATGGAAGATCACTAGATTCAGGGGGCTTTAAAAGCCAAAGGTAGTCAATCTCATCAGTTGAGAAAAAGCCTGTTCTTCTCCACCAGACTCTCCCAGCATCCAGGTACTGGCAGACTACCTCAGTAGTATCAATTGGATGGTCCGGGGCAGAGAGTTATAACTGAGTATCATCAGCATACTGATAATACTTGATTCAGTGCCAACAGATGACCTCACCCAGAGGTTTCATGTAGATGTTAAATAGGATTTCAAAGACCAAGTGCATTCATATTACCATAATCACCAAGTTCTGTGGAGAAAGGCCCATTTTGATACATTAATAAGAATTTTCAGCATCCATTATTTTTCAGTTTCTTTTATGATGTCGGTGCGTGTCCACGCAGGTTTGTGATAGCTTTTTAAAGGAAGCATTGTGTATATATCTGTGTGCAAAATATAAAATCAGATTTCCAGTATATTTTAAAAGATTAATGTGAAATTAAGCATTGTATAATTTGGAACTGAAAGTTCACAAAATATGGTTAGTCCTCAACTTACGACTAAAATTGAGCCAAAAATTTCTGTGGCTAAGTTAAACATTTGTTAAGTGAGTTTTGCCCCTTTTTACGACTTTTCTTGTCACAGTTGTTAAGTGAATCACTGCAGTTACTAAATTAAGTAACATGATTGTTAAGTGAAACTGGTTTCCCCATTGACTTTGCTTGTCAGAAGGTCACATGATTACGGGACATTGCAATTGTCATAAATATGAACCAGTTGCCAAGCATCTGAATTTTGATCATGTGACCATGGGAATGCTGTGATGGTCGTGTGAAAAAGTCACTTTTTCAGTGATGTAACTTTGAATGGTCACTAAATGAACTGTTGTAAGTCGAGGACTACCTGTATACGGATAGAAGTCAGGCTCTTAGATACCGTATGCTATATTGCTAAAGTTACTTATTAATTTTTCAGATCACCAAATAAGCACTATTGCATGGAATCTATGTGTTAAAGTGGCTTTCTGTAAAAAAGCATCTTTTTTTCCTTGGGCACAGGTAGCTAACGGAAAATAATCTTTTTATATTTTTGGACACAAAAATAGCACAATCATGCTGCCTTGAAAAAGGTATAAGTGCTCCAAAATATAATATGTTGCCTGGAAGAGAAACTTCAAAGACAATGGTGGTTGGAAAATGGGATGAATTCATTCCATCGTGTATTAGTAATAGAGAATATAGTTAAATTTTGTTATTGTAGAGGAAAAGATCATTCCCCAAGAAATATCCCCATAATCATTTTGACTCCCCATCCCACCCTCGTCCTCATTTTACTGTCAATGGGGACTAAATAATTTTCTATATGAGGAATAATGAGACTGCAGGAACTTTACAAAGGGAGTATAATTTGCTTAATTTTCTCTGTATTATGTTTTATGTAGATATCTCTCATGAATGCTGTGTAGTTGTACAGGAAATTGAGCAAAAAATGTATAGATTGTGATGTCAGGTACTCT